CTTTTCAACCCGGGTCAACCAAATGGGGTTAATACAATTCCCCCCCCTTCACCCTGCCAGCCGTTGTGCCAGAACAATTTTTTTTTCAGTTTAAACTTGACAAGGGCCATTAAGGAAACAGTGGGGGGTAGGGGAGTTCTATTTAGAGACGTTTTAAACGTCCGTGTGTTAGCTACCACTCTATTAAACGAACGTCTAACCCCATTTTTACAGACACCGGGACGTAATTACCGAAAGAAAGAATGACTTGATTTCAATGAACTATGAAGCTTTTCATGGGTCCACTAATAGGGTGATAGGGAGAGAGCTGTTGCCTTCGAGCCGCCAGCTGACGTAAATCCCTACTGGCACCAAGGGTCCTGCCGCTATCCCTGCGGCTGCTACGCTGGGTGCTACGCTCGCTGCATCCACGCCTAGCGCCACGCTTGGTGCCACTTTGGCTTCTACGGCGACCAGGTCCACCCCTGCTTCATCGCTACCCCGGCCGCCAGCCGCGAACTCTGCGTTTTGGTCCTTCCCTGTACGAGGAGAGATGGCGTATTTCTTCTAGATAGTAATAATGGCCGCATCGACAGTCGCAGCTACACGGCGTGTAGCTACATGTACATGTAGTTCCGACCCTTGGAGTGCATCATCAGTTCAAAAAATACGGATGTCGCATGCACCTTTGTGTCCGGATACTGTCTCATTACACACTTGTCTTCTCACTTGATGCTTTTAAAAATCCAGGTCAAAAGGAGACACGTTTTGTCGGACAGCTCCTCTTCTCTGCGACTGTCTTCATACCCAGAAATTCCATACAAAAAGCTCCTCGGACCAGACCATGGGAGGTGGGTCTCTGGGTCGTGCAGGAGGGCTTCCTGCTCTGCAAGCGCGATGATCCTGCATCCCTACGCAGTGGAGGCACGAAGCCTCCCAATTGGAAGCCAACCATCAGCAGCAAGACCCTCAAAGAGCTCTACGTAGTGCTCACAATGAACCGCAAGCTTGAGTTCTTCGACGGCAGCGACATCGAGACACGCAGCAAGGTAGACTCTGCCTATCTGCAAGGCTTCGGTGGCTGGGACGGAGACGGTCTACTTAAAGTAGACTCGTACGGACTGGAGCTTAAAGTAGAGCGCAACGCCAAGTCGCGGATGCATCTGGCAGCTTTTAACCGCGTGGACCTTATCTTTTGGATTAATTAAACAAAAAGATGATTTAGAAAAGTTAACAGCTTATGAATGTGGATTTAATCCTTATGATGATGCTAGAAAAGTTTTTGATGTAAAATTTTATTTAGTAGCTATTCTTTTTATTATTTTCGATTTAGAAGCTGTTTTTGTTTTTCCTTGGGTTTTAACTTTAAGTTCAAATTTTTCATGGGGATTTTGGACTATGATTGAATTTTTAGTTGAATTAGTTATAGGTTTTATTTATATTTGGTGTAGTGATGCTTTAGAATGGTAAATTGAAAAAATATAAATAAAATTTATTGTTATTATTTTAATAAATCTAATAATTTGGATTTATTAAAAAAAATTAAATAAATAAATATTTTATAAAAAAAAGATATATTTAATGTTAATAATATTTAAAAATTTAATATTAAATATATCTTTTTTTTATAAAATATTTATTATTTAAGTAGAAATATTTTCGAATATTTTAAATTTATTTTATTTTAATATGTTATTATTAACTTTAATTTTTTTACCTTTTTTAGGTTCAGTAGCAGCTGGACTATTTGGTTTTTATATTGGTCGTAAAGTATCCCCCGGTCGAGAGTTGTCTCCTGTCTTCGCGGTTCGATCGTTGGATGCAGTGAGACAGACCCGACGGTAATCTTCAGGGTCGGAGTCCGAACCGTCGGATCCTGACTCAGTTCCTGAGTCGGGCGCCGTGACTTGGTGGACACGTCGAGCTGGGGCCGTAGGCGTCGGAGCCTTTTGGCGATACTTGCCGGATCCGACCGCCGCCTTCTTCTGGCGGTGTTTCGCGCGATCCACCGCCCGCAGCACTCCCTCAAGCTCGTCTGCGTCGGGAAGTCGTAACAGGGTCAGCCTGTCGGCCAGATCCACGTCTCCCACCGTCTCGATGAAATGATCCACGTGTTCCCGCAGTACCTTGGATCCCCCATCCTTGATCTTCAACTTGGCCCGTAGACCGGCCACATTTAGTCGATGTAGATACTCTAGCGGGGATTCATCCGATCTGCGGCGAGCGTGGTAGTATTGTCGTACCACCGACACCCCCAGTCCACAGTACTGGGTCTGGAAACTGCGCAGCAAATCCGACCACTTGTTCCTGGTGGATCTGCCCAGCTGCCGATACCAGTTCCTGGCTGGCCCCGCTAGCAGATCCGCAAAGGTCAAACACTTTTAGGCATCCGACGCTTGATCTCTCATGAGGGCCGACTTGACTTTGCTGATCCATGTTCGCGCTCGGTCTTCGTCTTGATCCTTGCCCGTGAACTCCTTCAGATTCGATATGGCTGAGATCCATACCCTCTGGATCATAGACAATCCATCCGGCTCGGCTGCAGCCGTTGCTACCACCGCCGACGAAGGGGATGGGCCATCCAGATCATCTGGGTCGAGCTCATCATAGGAGTTGTCTCCCTCCACTGACATCATCTCCACGTCTCGTGCTCCATGTTCGTTGAGCACTTGCGCTTGTGGCACGGGCGCTCTCATACCCTGTTCGGCCAGGAAACGACCCATCGCAGCTTCGAAGTATCGTTCTAGGGTGCCCGATGAGGTGTCGGAGGGCCCTGTAGCCGTCTGGTCTACTGACGAGGCGGGATCCGGGAGGCGACAAGATTGAACACGATCCGACGATAATCCGACTGGCTTCTTGCTGGATCTGGCTCGATCCTGGTTGGATGGTGTCAGATCGCGGGTATGGCGCTCTGGATTCCGAGTCTTCACACTCAAGGGCGCCTCCTGTCCCCGGATCCTTGCCCGCGCTTCCAGCATGGATGCCCCGGAGGGGCCTTAGGTCATGCGTCGCGGCTCCGAAGACCTATCTGACCTATCCTCAG